CGAAGCAAAATTGAGATTATTAATATGCATCAATATGTAGTTTTGTAGTAAATTAAGGTATTAACAGGAAAATTGAGATTATTAATATGTAGTTTTGTAGTAAATTAAGGTATTAACAGGAAAATTGAGATTATTAATATGTAGTTTTGTACTAAATTAAGGTATTAAAATAAAAATTGAGATTATTAATATGCATTAATATGTAGTTTTGTACTAAATTAAGGTATTAAAATATGATGTCAACAGCTAGATTTTTATCCAGTCATAGGAGCCTTTTTCATGGTCCGTGGATGTGGAGGGACCCATTATTATTGATAGGAGTGATGGCAGACAAAATAGAATTCAAGCCCCCAAAGCATAATGCTTATCTCTCGTCCTCATCCCTTACTTTGACTGCATTGTCCATTCCAATCATACACCCTTTCTCTCACCCTTAGCATTGCAATTAGTTTAACAGAGTGTGAGTTTGCGTAATATCTCCTCTTCTAACTTATATTTTTGATGGTACAACTTTCAAAATTTTGACTAGAGATATCCTTATCTTAATGTTGAGAGAGAGAGAGGAATTTTTTTTTGGGCCAAGTCAGTAGGGGAGAATGCCTCTACTCGTTTTTTTTCATTAATAGAAGATGAAAAAAAATTACAGCACATTAATTACAACTCTACTATAGGACAATTGTGCAACATCATGAAGTAAAAGAAGAGAAATAAAATCTTTAAACCTAGATAGCCTTTTTAGCAAATACAACCATCACTATATTGGCATCACGATAGATATGACAAATAGACCACGAATGATTTGTAATTCTAAATTTGTTATTACTTGGTATATGGTATGAAGCGCCCATAGAAACTTACAGCCGCCACGTATGACTTGTAAAAAAAAAAAAATATTGAATTTATAATTTTCAATGAGTGGTTGGAGAGAGAGATTTCCATCGCTTGTTAAAGACAAGGAAAAAGAAGACTGGTTGATAGATTTCAGTGTGTGTGGAGAAGAGAGAGAGAGTTTGTCAACTGTTCTAAAAAAAGAGAGAGATTGATTCCTGACTCGGTCATAAAGAAATAAACTTGTAGATGGATTTTGAGGATTTGCAAGAATTTTTTTGGAAATATAAAGGCAAGAAGCAAAGACCAGCAACTAGCAAATAGAAATAAGAAAAGAAGGCCGGCCTGCATTTTTCTACAACGTTGTTTGAATAATTATTTTATTTTATTTTATTGATTTCCATTTTCCATTTTTCTCACGAGACTTTTGTGAGTGAGGCCACTTGGACTCGAGCGAGTGACTCTATTGGTGTGCCGCAATCTCTCGTTGAGTGTACAAATTGGGATACATAAAATTTTTCAAATTCAAAAAGTCCTAAAAAATGTCGGATTGTTTTATAAAAAAAAATTATCGTTAATATACATTAGTTTTAATAATAATGGAAAAAAAATCTAAACTTCTCAAAACCTCGTCCACACCTTCTTCTTTTTTTTCAATTTTTCCAATTGTTTGGATGAAAATGCCCTTTTACCGTAGTCTTTCTACCGTAAAGACATTGATAGAATTACGGTACTTCGAGTACGATAATACCTTGAAAATATATTACGGTACTTATAATACTGTAATTCCAATAACTTCAATTAGCATTACGATACGTACTGTAAAACTATGGAAGCCAATTACCGTAAAAATTAAAACCCATTTAGCACCGTAAAAACTAATCTATGTTATAGGGCAACATTTTCTCCTTATTATATTTATTTCTTTCATCTCTATTTTTTTTATGCTTATCTCTTATTTCTCTCTTTCATTTTTTTAATATTTATCTTTTCTTTTCTCTAAATCTTTTCTTTCCCTAACTGGGATATTTGGTGGTGTCCAAATTGACCCGTAGAGTAAGATTGTAGAGAGAAAAATAAAAGATAAAAAAGAATGAGAGAGAAGAATAGATAAATATGAAAAAGAATGAGAGAGAGAAAGAATTGATGAACATAAAAAGAATTAGAGATAAAATCGATAAATATAAATAGAATGAGAAAAGTGTTTACGGTATTTTAAATGGCATAAAAACTTTTTTATTTATCTATTTTATCTCTAATTTCTTTTATATAGATCTATTCTTTCTATCATTATGAGAAAATTGTTTACGCCATTTTAAATGCTCTATAACATAGAGATAGAAAGAATAGATCATCTAAAAAAAATTAGAGATGAAATAGATAAATATAAAAAGGGTTTATGCCATTTAAGCGGTAAACATTTTCTCATTCTATTTATACTTATCTGTTATCTCTAACCCTTATCACTATTTTTTCTCTAATTCTTTTTCATAGTTATCTCTTCTTTCTCTCTCATTCTTTTTTATCTCTTTTTTCTCTCTACAATCTTACTCTACGAGCCAATTTGGACACGGCCAAATATCCAAGGAGAGAAAAGATTTAGAGAGAGAAAGAAGAGATAAATATCAAAAAAAATGAGAGAGAAAGAAGAGATAAATATCAAATAGAATGAGAGAGAGAGAGAAATAAGAGATAAAGGTAAAACAAAAAATAGAGATGAAAGAGATAAATATAATAAAGAAAAAAAGTTTTACGGCATTTGAAGTGCCGTATAACATGGGTTAGTTTTTACTCCAGTAAAATGGGTTTTAGTTTTTACGGTACTTAAAATACGTAATGATAATTGAAGTTATTACAGTATTTAGTTTTACGGTATTACGGTACTCTTATTTTCAAGGTATTACGGTACTTGAAGTACCGTAATTCTATCAATGCCTTTGTGGTAGAAGACTATTGTAAATGATATTTTTGTTCAAAAAATCGTGAAAATTGGGAAAAAAAGGTGTGGTTGAGGTTTTGGGAAGTTTGGGCTTTTGTTTTTTCCAATTTTGTTAAAAGTAAGGTATATTAGCGATTATTTCCCTTCTACAAATCTTTTGTATATGATTTTAGATTTTTTTGGCCAAAATTGATGTGTATTTCTTCCTTATTTTTGTATTTTTTCTTAAATTTTGTAAAATATCCTCAACTACAAATTTTTTTAATCTATTTTTCTATACTTTTTAAATTTTAATCAAACTTTTCTAAGCTTGTTTTTAGTTTTATTTTATTTTTACTACCTTTCTTCTTTCCATGTTTTTAAATTTTTATAATTTATCTAAGGGTTTTCACCTACATATGAATCTACTCGGATTTGGCATGTTCTAGCCAGTTTTTTGACAGAAGCAGTCGATTAGGTCAGAGAGCTAACTGGAATGAGCCCCACCTTTTATTTTTTATTTTTTAAAAATTTTTGTTCTCTAAATTTTTAGAATTTCTATTTGTCGATTCACTCAGCTGAATCGTTGATACATGCTGTCGAACCACCGAACCAAACCAGTTTCTAGATAGGCGATCCAGGTCACGAATCCATTTTTTTAAAGAAAAAATTTATATAAGGTTTCAACATTAAAATGTAAAATTAAGGATGCACCTCAAAAATTCACCGGGAAAGGTTGTTTAATGTTGACAAACCATCAAATTGATCATCTCGACATCAAGATGTATGAGTACAAAAAAAAAAAAAAAAGAGTATTTAAAATAGTTCATCTTGCAACACATTTTCTAGACTGTTCATTTTCAAAATTTTCATATGTTTATAGATCTACTTGATTTTAACCATTTTTGGAGTTTAAAATCTTGTAGTTCTAAAAATATTTTGCACCAAAATTTCATGTTATGATAAAATTTGGAAACGCACC